CTATAGTCCCAGCTACTCAGGAGGCTGAGGCGGGAGGATCACCTGAGCATAGCAGGTCAAGGCTGCAATGAGCCATGATTGTGCCACTGCACCCTAGCCTTGGTGACAGAGTGATGCCCAGTCTCAAATAATAATAATAATAACAACACATAGAAATATTATTTTTTCTATTTTTAATGTTTTTAAGAACTTTAAAATCTTTCCAAAATAATTTATATTCCATAAAGTTCACCCTTTTAAAGTACACAATCCAGTGATTTTTTACTCACAACATTGTGCAACCATCACTACTAATTCCAGAACATTTCATCATCTCCAGAAGAATCCTGTATCCTTTAGCAATCATCCCTCATTCTTTCCTCCCCTCAGCCCCTGGCAACCACTCATCTCCTTTCTGTCTCTATGGATTTGCCTGTTCTGACAAATGGAATCATGCAATGCGTGGTCTTTTGTGTCTGGTTTTTTTCATTTAGCACAGTGTTTGCAAGGTTCAGCCATATTGAGGCATGTGTCAGTGCCTCATTCCTTTTCACAGCTGTGTACTATTTTGTTGCATGGATAAGCCACAGTTGGTTTACCCATTCATGTAGGATTCTTTTTAGTTGACACAGGGCCAGGGCCGGGGCTTCAGGTATTCTTACAGAGGGAGAGGCTAGAGCAGAACCAAGAGGAAGGGCTGCATCTGAACAGGGGATGTGTGTGCAGCCTGAATGGATCTGTCTCTGGCTCTGCTTACTCTCAAAGTGCCTGAGGGCATTTCAGAGAGTTCCTGGATTCTGAGAATCGGAAATTATTGCTACTTAGACTCTGAGCTTTCCATCACCTCTGCCTCAAACCCAAGGTGACTATGGGCATGGGGCCTTCCTGGGGGTTGGAGTCAGTGGACAGATTTGAGCTAGGCACATAGAAGTGATTGATAAATACATGGATGGATAAATGGATGGATTGAATAGATGGATGATTGCATGCAGGGATGCAAGGGTTCATGTGGAAAAATGGATGGATGGACGGACGGACGGACGGACGGACGGACGGATGGATGGATGGATGGATGGATAGATGGATGAATGAATGGATGGGTGGATGAATGGATGGGCAGGTGGGTGGGTGGGTGGATAGACAGAATGTATAAATGGAAGACTGGATGAATAAACTGGCATGTGGAGCTGGCACTACATTCTTGCCAAGGCCTACTTAGTTTGTTCTGAGACAGTGTCTTGCTCTGTCACCTAGGCTAGAGTGCAGTGGTGCAAACACGGCTCACTGCAGCCTCTAAGTCCTGGGTTCAAGCAATCCTCCTGCCTCAGCCTACCATGTAGCTGAGACCACAGACATGCACACCATGCAACACCATGCCTGGTTAATTTTTTTTTTTTTTTTTGTAGAGATGGGGTCTCTCCATGTTGACTAGGCTGGTCTCAAACTCCTGGACTCAAGTGATCCTCCCATCTCGGCATCCCAAAGAGCTGGGATTACAGGCATTAGCCATCGCCCCTGGCCTGCCAAAGCCCACTTTATGCATGGGAGAAAGATATATTTTTTACCTAGAGAGAAATTCTAGCACAAGGCATCCTTGAGTCAAAAGACCTACCATTTAGGTACTAACTCTTAAACAGGTGTAGGAAGGATCAAATCTTAAATCTTTAGAGTTGCAAATCAAATGATCTAGCTGTGTGTGGCACACTGAAGGTGCTTACTACATAGTTGGAAGCGAACGGATGGACGAATGAATGGCTTGAACAAATGAACAAACCTACTTCCCACCCAGTTGGTAAATTAGGAAAGTGACACCCATTTTAGAAATGAGGAGAGTGGCACCTAAAGTCACCCACCGATCAGGGTCAGGCTGTGGCGTGGAATCCAGACCAACTGGAAGTCCAGCATTCTTTTCCCCATACCAGGCAGTTTCCCGGTTCCTGATCTCAGTGGGGACATCTCATGTCAACCAGACAAGTCACTTCCAGGCCTTGGATTTTGTGTCCTCCTACCTAGGACAAGGAGGTCACTGAACTGACCACATGTCTATTTGATGATTGTTTGAGACTGGGGTGTGTGTATGTGCCTTGGAATGAGAGAGAAAAAGAGAGAGAGAGAAAAAAAAGAGACAGAGAGAGAGAGAGAGGAGAGAGAGAGAGAGAGGGAGAGAGAGAGAGAGAGAGACGGAGAGAGAGAATGCATACATTCTCACGAATGGAAAGGCAAATACATCTTGTCAGCAGCTTTCACCTTCCCGTAGTGCAGCTGTAACATGTCAGGTGTATTGGGGCACCCGAGATAAGCTGGTTTTGACACGCTGCAGATGCCTTCCTACCTCCCAGGGAGGCTGTGACCACCCCATGTGACAGAGACAATGACATTCAACATCTGGGTAGCAGCTTATGTGAGGTCATGACTCAGTGCCTGGCACATGGCAAGTACCCAGTGAATGGTGGCTGCTTTCATTCATGAATAGCAATCTCCCCGGCCCAGACCTTCTTACCAGGCTCATACTTTCCAGCACACTGAACTGGGATCAGGAAGTCTAATTCTACTCCCAGTTCTGACATGCACTTTCTGGGGGACCCTGGATGTCTAACCTCCCTGGGCCCCCATCTCCTCATCTGTAGAATGGAGAAAAGCATACCTTCCTCACAGGGCTGCTGGGAAAATAACCAGAGAGACAGGCTATGGGGGCACTTTGCATGCTATAGACAAGGGGCAGTAAACTACCAGGGGCCAAATCCAGGGCGCCACTTTGCAAATAAAGTTTTAATGGAACGCACCCACCCTCATCCATGTACGTATTGTCTGTGGTTGCTTTCAAACGACAGTAACAGAGTCAAATAGTTGCAACAGAGGCTAAAGGTCTGCAGAGTCTAAAATATTTACTATCTAGTCCTTTAAAGAAGAATTTAGCTGCTCCTGCTATTGAGCGATTATTCCCAGGTGTTAGCAGCCTTCCTCCTTCCTCTTCCCTGGGAGATGCTCACTCTCAGGCCCTCCCCAAAGGCTGGTGTAAAGCCTGGGTATCTCCTCTTTGACAAGGTTTCCTGGTGACTCTGATGAAGAAAGGCCCCTGGTCCAGACTGCAAAACACACCAGGGTAGTGAAATCAGACAGACCTGAGATCAAATCCCTGTTCTACTGCTTCCCACCTGTGTGACTGTGGACAAGTTGCTTAACCTCTCTGAGCCTCAATGCACTTATCTACAAAATGGGGACAACAATGCCTATCCCTTAGAGTTCCTGGGAAAATTAAATGAGACAATGTCTATAAAGGGCTCAGTCAGGCCTGACGCAGGATGGGTGCCTGGTAATTGATGGTTTTTTTTTTCCTGCATCCCTAAACTAATTCAGTCCCTGGGTATGCTGCATCTTCCCAGTTCTTCCAGAACCCTCCTAGCTTCTCCCTTTCTGCCCCACTGTGGCCTCTCAGGTGGACTCTGCCCCCCATCTTTGTTGAGGGTCCTTCTTCCCCAGCAGAGAGAGGTGCATTTGCTGAGAGGCAGCGCTGGGGAGCTGGTCTGATACAGCCTGGAGTTCTCGGCCCATTTCTGACACTGAAACACCGGCTCCGTGTTTACACAAGGACTCTCATAATATTTGCTTTCCGTGGCCATTATTTGTCCAGGGGCTGACGTCAGATGAAGACAAGCAACTCCCCACTAGCGCTTTCAAAGCACAAGGTCAGCACCTCCCTGTCCCCACTTCACTGTCCCATCCCCTGGCTCCTTGTCTGAGTTTTCTAAACTAACCACACTCCAGGCTTTGGGTGACTTAGCAAATGAGTTGGCTTGGGACCAGCAGAGAGGCAGATTCTGACCCCAGCCTGTCGCTAACTAGCTGGGCGACCTTGGAGGGTCTGGTCCTCTCCCTGGGCCTCAGTTGCCTCCTCTGTGCCCTGGGAGGGTCGTTTCCAGCGCCACAATTCCATGACTCTGGAACTTCAAGAACCCCCCAGGCTGGGAGACTCCAGCACCTGCTGTCACTCTCCTTCCCACCCCTCCACCCTTCTCAAGCTGCCTAAGAGTGGGAGGAAAGCGAACAGAAATTGTGAAAACAAAGCCACACTTCGACTTAGCTATAACCCTGCCGACAGCACAATCTTTCATCAAGAGAGAAAATAAGTGAAAAAAGCTACAAGCCTTCAACTGGGCATTTTAACATAGAGGTACGTCCTCCACCACAGCCAATACCCTGCACCCTGACCAGCGTGGGGAGCCTGTGAATGGACATAAGTCCAGCTTCTTCCACCCATCTGCCACTCATATGAGAAGGTTGCCGGGCGCCACGGCTCACGCCTGTAATCCTAGCACTTTAGGGGGCCAAGGGGGCCAGATCACCTCAGAGAGGTCAGGAGTTCGAGACCAGCCTGGCCAACATGATGAAACCCCATCTCTATTGAAAATACAAAAATTAGCTGTGTGTGGTGGTGTGCGCCTGCAATCCCAGCTACTGGGAAGGCTGAGGCAGGAGAATCACTTGAACTTGGGAGGTAGAGGTTGCAGCGAGCCGAGCCGCTGCACTCCAGCCTGGGCGACAGAATGAGACTCCATCTCAAAAAAAAAAAAAAAAAAAAAAGAAAAACAGAAAGAGGTCAAGTTGCAGGTAAAGCCACCTATGTCACAGGGTCAGCTCTGCTTCCCAGGGAGGAAGAATCATACATAAGTCCAAGGGGAGAAAAAAAAAAATGACAAAACCAATCCGGGGAGTTACTGACTCCATTGAAATGTGTATCCATACCAAAGACATATGGGTCCACACCTCCCGAGGACTAAATAAAGGACACCCATCTGAAACCTCAGCCCGAGGGACTTCAGTAGGTCACATCAAACTCTTTCCTGATTTGGCATGGGCCAGTGTGGGGCAGTCCAGTGGTTTAAGCAAGTCTCTGGAGCCGAACAGACCTGGGTCTGAATTCCGGTAAGGCCACCCAGTGGCTGGGTGACCCGGGGGAGCCATGGTGCCTCTCTGAGCCCGGGTTTTCCCAACTGTGAAATGGAGATGATAATAATTCATACCTTGTGGTGCTGTTGTGAGAATGTAAGAAACAGTTCAGTGCCTATGCCAGTTGGAAGGTCATATGGGGCCCTTGCCAAATGATCTTCTCCTTGGGTTACTGGATGATTCTTCAAGGGTGATAATCATCGAGACCTTCTCTGGCGGGTCAGGCACAGTGGCTCATGCCTGTCATCCCAGCACGTTGGGAAGCTGAGGCGGGCAGATCATTTGGGGTCAGGAGTTCGAGACCAGCCTGGTCAACATGGTGAAACCCTGTCTGTACTAAAAATATAAACATTAGCCGGGCGAGGTGACTCACGCCTGTAATTCCAGCATTTTTTTGAGGCCTAGGCAAGTGGATCATTTGAGTTGAGGAGTTTGAGACCAGCCTGGTCCAACATGGTGAAACTCCATCACTACTAAAAATACAAAAATTAGCTGGGCGTGGTGGTGTGCACCTGTAATCCCAGCTACTTGGCAAGGCTGAGGCAGGAGAATTGCCTGATCCCAGGAGGCGGAGGTTGCAGTGAGCTAAGATTGCACCACTGCACACTCCAGCCTGGGCAGCAAAGCAAGACTCTGTCAAAATCAATCAATCAATCAATCAATCAATCCATCCATCCATCCATCCATCCATCCCACTCTGGCATGGAGAACATCTGAGTTCTTTGAAGCACTCACAAGTGCATTCTCATTTGTAGCACTTCTCACAACAGTGACATGAGGTGGATATCACTCTCCACAGTCTATAGATGCAAAAACTGAGGATTGAAGAGACAAAGCCATTTGTCCAGAGCTCACCACAAGCCCTCACCCTGAAGCCCAGGCCTTCGACTCCCAGTCATTGCTCTGGCACCTCTTTCCACAGGCTCAGATCCTACCGGCGCCATGTGGCCTCGGTGGGTCCAGCTGTGTCCAGAGGCCTCCCAGACACTGGCTCCAGGCCTCTCAATTTCTCTCCAGCCTCAAGAGGACGTTCAGACATCGGCGTTGAGCTCAGCCAAAAGTGTGAGGAGACAGCGCCCTCCGGTGGTCTCTGCGCAGCAGCGAGGGAAGCCGAAGGAGGGGGTGGGGCATTTCGATGTCACAAGGCCTGCAGCCCCGAGGAGAGGGACAGAGATCAGGGGCACATTCGACTCCTGTCCTCACCGGTCCAGCCCCTTGATACCTCCAATACTCCTTCTGACCCAGGGCTCTTAGAATCACATCATTCCAATCTGGAAAGAAACTGAAACGCCATCTAAATGAACGTTCTCTGCACACAGATTATTGAATCCAGGGTGGAGACAGATCATCCAAGGTCACGTGAGGACTCAGGGTGGAATGCAGTCAGAGCTCAGGTCCCCTACCTGCCCCTTCAGGCCCAGCAGGAAGTTCGGGGAGGTTGGATTCACCAGATCTGCACCTCCCCGCTCCCCATTTTTCTCCTCTGCCTTCAGGGCTGCCAGGCACACTAGGTAGAGTGGGAGGGGCTGAGGCAGAAGAGTGATGGTAATGGGCTCGCCAACTCTTGATGGCTGTGTGACCTTGTGCAGGTTACTTAACCTCTCTGTGCCCCAGTTTCCCCCTCTGTGAAATGATATTGAATCCTCAATGCCACAGGACTAAATAACGCATAAATTTAAAAAGGCCTGGTACATACTAAGCAGCCCCCAAACATGGTAGCCCCTGCTACTGCTTTTATACTATTCGTTTGGTGCCTCTAATTAATTGGTTCGCTTCTGAGGGGCCACAGGCTCTCCCACGCACCTTTCTCTCCTCCCCTTCTCTCACTTCATTTCTCCTCACCAAACCCCAAAGTGGCAAATTGATCCCCAGTACCTGTATCTCTTGTCTGTCACATTCGAGGCTCTGCAAGATGGTGTGGCCTGGCGGGGGACTGGGGAGTCAGTGCCACACACACGGCCCCTCTGTGGGTCAGCCTGCCACTCTGGCCCAGGGTAGGCTTAGCTAAGGTTGAGTCTCAGAGAAGGGCTGAAACCCCAGAGGGTTTTTCTGGGGCCAAGAGCAGACCAGGTTGAAGGGCGTGGTCAGTACCTTCCTGGGATGATTCCAAGGGCCCAGCTCTAACAGCTGGACATCACCAGGCTCGAGTTTCAGGATGGGAACCTTGAAAACCCCGCCATGATTTTCCTTTTCACACCAGTCTTGGGGCCAGGCAGATGTGGGTTCAAACCCTTGCTCTGCCACTCGTGAGTTCTGTGATCTTGGGAAGAGACTGAGTGTCTCTGAACCTCAGTTTCCTCGTCTGTAAAGTGGGAGTGGTTAAAGGAGTGTACGGAACTGTTGGGTTTGGATTAAGGTGCCCAGCCCACTGCCTGGAATGCAGCACTCTGACTAGCTTATTGAACATCAAAATTAATTTACCACCTTTTCCCCCAGAATCCTGTTCTTCTGGAATTCCCTGTCCTGGTAGGTGTCTATAATACTTACATCTAGGGTGTCTATAATACTTACACATCCAAGGAGGGGTGGCCCATGCTCTCATACTTTCCATCAACTCTGTCATAGCTGTTGCACGGAGGTGAATCCATCACAGCTGCCTTGCATGGCCATTCCTCTCCACCTACTTTGGCCATGGCTCTCCTTCTAGGACAAGGTTATGGCAAATCCTTCATCACTGGTTTCCTCCTTCCAGCCTCCTTACTCCTGCTGGGGTGGTTACATCAGCCCCTCTCCACACCTCACTCTGAAACACATGTTCAGAGCACAAAGTCCAAACTGCTCAACGAAGCCAGGACACTGAGGTCCCCCATGATCTGGGCCCCTCACTCCTACCTCCCCAGCATCGTCTGCTCCCATCCTGTCTCCCACACAAACCAACCCTCCCTCCCAAAACTCTCAGTGTTTCCTGAAGATGAGGCTCCCTGCTGCTCTGTGTCTCTAAGCCTCTGCCCTCTGCCCCAACCACCCAGAACGCCCCTTTCTGACACCTCCTCTGCAAGCCCTCTGTGACTGCCCCCACCTCCCCAGTTCTTCTCACGTGGAGCCAAGCACTCTCTCCTTCAGGCCCCATCGGCCTCTCTCAGACCCCCATGACGGCCCTTCCCACCTGTCTGCGGCAGGTTTACCTGACTAGGCAATCCAGGAGGGAGGCGAGAGCACTGGTTGAGAGCGATGCCTGTGGGGTCCTGTCTCCTGGGATTTACTGAGGGAATGTGTGGAGTCCTAGCACTGCGTCTGCTGCATATAGATGCTCAGTAAATGAAAGTGATTCTTTTTATTGCTATCTCCCCATGAGGCTGCAAATTCCTAGAGCAAGACTCATGTCTTAATTATCTCTGCATCCCCAGCAACTAGCCCTGTGATCTGGCCCACAGTAGAAGTTTAACAGATGTTTTCACATGGATGAATGGATGGATGGATACATGGATGGATGGATGGATAAATAGATGGATGGTGTGGCTGAAAGAGGAGGAAGAAATACGTAAGAGCTGCATTCAGCTGGTAACTAGGCAGTGACAGAAACGTGCATGGCACTTTACAAAGCAATGTCAGCCAAGCCCAACCACGGAGACTGATTCTATTTTTATCCCTGTTTCATGGAGGGGAGGAACTGGCTCAGAGAGGTGAAGACACCTGCCAGAGTTCCATAGTGATGACATTGGTGACAGCCGATATTCAAAGTCACTTCTGTCTGGTTACAAACCCCATGCAATTTCCATTTATCCACGCTGCTTCCTAAAAGGGAGCAGTTGGAATAGCAGCCGCATCTGAAGGAAATATGAACTAGAATTTATGTCGAGATTGCTAAAGTTCCAGCCTGGCCAACACGATGAAATCCTGTCTCTATTAAAAATACAAAAATTAGCTGGGAATGATGGCGCTGCCTGTAATCTCAGGTACTCGAGTGGTTGAGGCAGGAAAATCGCTTGCACCAGGGAAGCAGAGGTTGCAGTGAGCTGAGATCTCACTATTGCACTCCAGCCTGAGGGACAGAGCGAGACTCTGTCTCAAAAAAAAAAAAAAAAAAAAAGTTGCTAAAGTAACCAGCAGGTGCTTCACACTAAAGAGATGAGGAAACTGAGGCCCAAGGAATTTGGGGAAGGGCAGGTAGATCCAGAGCCCTTTACTGCTGCCTGAGCCATTCTGGTTCCCAAATGCTGGAAGTATCTACAGCACAGAAGGGCTGGCCTGGAGATAGGGTTCTGGGTCTAAAAGTTAGAGGCAAGCAGTGGAGGGAGGAAGGTATTGGTGTCTCTGGGTCATTAGTCAGAGCTGGGGTCTTAGGTGCCCAGGAAGAATCACTGTTATGACTGTTATGAATGATAAACTGCATTATTAGAGATGCTATGTAACCATAAACTATAACATTACTTATGTTGTTAGGGCACTTCAGGGTGTCCAGAGCACTTTTGCATGTACCACCAATTTTCCCCCACAATTCCTTCAAAACGTGCAAAAAGCCAGGGATTATCACAATCTTACAAAGCAAGTGACTGCAGAGGAGTCACATGGATTCCCCCAAGGGCATAAACTTAGCAAATAGTTTCCCTAGTCTCAACATAAACGTTTCTGATTCCTGGTTCGGTGCTGTTTCTCACATACCTGCAGCCTTTCCGAGCCCCTGGTGTGTTACGGTTGCTGTTTAGTGAGCCGATGTGAGCATCGATGGAAAGCAAGAGAAAACAGGAAGAGGGAAAGAGGAAGCTGAACAATGGCTGGGAAATGGGGAAGGAAGCTCTGGGGAGCCCAGCAAGGGGATTGGCAATCCAGGCTTCTTTGGGCCCCTCCTCAGGTCCCAGTCTTTGCTGGAGCCACACATACAGCTGGCAACCTGATGCTGGCACGAGATGGCGCCCTTGCATGGAGAAAGGACCGGAGTGAGCCTGGCCAGGCTGGTGATTAGCTGTGAGCACTGCTGACTGGGCTATCTGCAGTTTCCACACTGCCCCTGGACAGTGGGCACATCAGCTTCTGCTTCAGAAAGGCCCTTTCAAGACTCCTCTACTGAAATCCTAGGCCTATTCACTCAAATGCACAGTTGCAGGATGAATCAGGGGTGTTCACAGTTATCCCCAGCCAGGTGAGTCCAAATAGGTGGATACAGAATTTTTTTTTTAGACGGTGTCTTGCTCTGTCACCAGGCTGGAGTGCAGTGGCGCGATCTTGGCTCATTGCAACCTCCACCTCCCAGGTTCAAGCACCTGCCTCAGCCTCCCAAGTAGCTGGGACTACAAGCGTGCGCCACCACACCCAGCTAATTTTTGTATTTTTAGACAGAGTTTCACCATGTTGGCCAGAACGGTATCGATCTCTCGCCCTTGGGATCTACCCGCCTC